CGCAGAAAAGTGGCAAGGGGTCAGAGCGCGGCCCACGTATGAGGTGCGCCATCCTCGCCACTGGCGCATTTGTGAAGTCGAACAGGTGGACGAAGGACAACGGGGAGCTCGTCCCCTATACTCCAACCACCACCAACTGCCACGCCAAGAAGGCAGTTTACGAGTTGATGCGCTATGTGGGCAGCGTGGCCATTTCTGAGAAAGACGCACAGGGTGAGCGAACATGGTAGTCCTGGGAGCAACATTTTTTTTCCTTGTGCATTTAAACATGTCGCGAGCCCGGCAGCCGATGTCAGGTGTACCCGCTCGACTGCAAGTCCCTGCGCGTTCGTATGTTGACTCGTCTGCATTTCATAGAGCAACAAAATGTTAAGGACGTTGCGCTAGAGTTCTATCATTGATTTGCAACGCGAGGTGAGCAGCCGCGGTTGGCGTTTTGTATAAGTCTCCCAAGAAAGTGACCATAAAACCTGTGTCCGGTCCCTCACCAGCGGCATGTATGGCGAACGACATATTGTGCAGCTTCGCTTCAGATATTTCTTTTTCGTGGCACGTGCCCGCCTGTTATGCTTACCCTGTTATCTACGTGCTGTGCCGGAGTGGTGGGTGTGGCGCTCGGTCATCACCTCCTTGTGTTGGCCACAAACATGCACTTGTCCGGGGAGTTGGCGCCGATGAATCATCGATGCACGGGTACATGTAGCGTATCGGACTTTGTGTAGGGCCGTGTTGCATGGCCGAAGTTTCAGTTGGAAATTTAGATGACAACGTTCGGCGTGTGATTGTTTCCATTCCGTCATAACACGCACGCCGCTTCTGCCTACCCGCCTCACGCCTGCATGCGTACGACTGTTTCGTATGCCTCCCTCCATGTCTGCTTTATACTTTCAGAAGCCGTGAACGACGGCAGTACTGCTCGCCGCTCAGAGCACGTGAAGTGGACGAGGGAAGGCACACGGGTTGCCCTCCTGGACCTCGTCCAAGAGACCTCCACGGCAATTCGCAAGTCCCACAAGGACAAGCCGGACGTCCTTGAGGAGGATTGGACTCGCAGCAGATTCTACAACAGAGTCCTCATCCAAGTCAGCCTCCTGACCCCCCAGAAGGAGGTACGACCAGAAGAAGTCGCGTGATGTGTTTTTCTTTTAGCAGGTACAACCCTGGGCCGCTCCTCACTTCACCTTTCCTGAAGATCCTAACTTTTGACTACCCTGCTCGGTTCCTGGCAGTGTAGAGGAGTCTGTCGCAAGTCCCTACGCTATTTTCACCGCCTAAACACGCCAACCGCACGTTTCTTGTCTCCGCGGGCTGGCAACTCTCAACCCACTCCAATCGTGGATACATGTCGTCGGCTTCTTGCTGGACTACGACATGAAGAGAATACCATAAAGAAACCTGTCGGCGTTTTCCTACAAGGGGCACTGACCAACGCCTCGTCTCGCGTTGCCCCCGCAACAGGCGTACCGGGCCTCCGTCTTTGAGTTACTCCGGCAGGTAAGTAAGCACAAGATGCCGAATACCCTTCGCGGGATGCAGCACACCTTCCATGTGACTCGGTACCTCACGGCTCTTCCTGCTTGGTGATTACGAGCCTGGTCCGGTGAGAACCCGGGGTGCTCCGTCCCGGCATTGTAGGGATGCGAGGCCAATGGTCTAACGACTACGGTTAGGGTTTGGGTCAGGGATACTTCGGGCTAGTGGTAACGAAACGCCAGCTGTCCTGCGAGTTTTCCATCAGTATTATTTCACCAACAATAGTTCCTCCCCGACCGGAAATCATATGTCACTAGACTACGGTAGATTCACACCGATACGTGTGTGGTGGTGATTTTTGAAGCACATTCGTCCTGCCTATGAGAGAGTAGCTTAAGTTTCTGAATCTCGAATGCATCCCATTAACCGCACCAACCCGGTAGTCCTTGTCCCGGCATGTTTGCGTGCGATCGGAAGCAGCGAAGTCAATATGGTGCTAGCAAAGTGCCCCATCCCCCCGCACCACTCCATCAAAATATATCTTCCTCTTGGTGACCGTTTAGTTCCGCGGTGGTTCCCGTTCGTCTACCCCCCTTCCCCATTTCTTCGGTACACACAGACCCCACCAACGGTCCGGGCTTCGACGACAACGGCAACCGAAATCTTCGACGAAGAAGGCGGCAATGGCTTGGGCGGCGATGGCTCGGGCCGCGATGGCTCGGCCGGCGATGGCTCCGGCGGCGATGGCTCGGCCGGCGACCGCGGCACCAACCGCGGTAACGTCGAGGCGGGCGAGCAGCGTGGTGCCGACGAGGATGCAGAC